CAAACCCTAGGAGTAGCTGTAGTAGACAGCTGATGGCAGATGCTAGTTATAAGGAGGTGGAGGAGTGAATGGGGGATCAAAAATGGACTCACCGGGTAGACAACTCCTGAGAAGTTTTCTCTGGGAATAGTGACTGACAAAAGAGACTGCAATCGTGGGAGTTGTGCCGTGAGTTAATTTTAAGAGCAGAAAACAATAAAGCACATTTGCAAGTTACATGTGATGCTCCCCATATGTATGGCATCGATGTTGCAGGGAAAAGAAAGATAACTGAAAAGGCAAAGTCCTCGAAGGAGTGAGAGAGTAGGAATCAGAGTGTGCATGGGAAGACAGAGTCTTTAGGTTAGAGAGGAATGCAGCGCTTTATCCAGTGAATGGAAGGGAGAGGGGGCACAGGAGACACCATCTGAAAGACAAGCGATTTAAATTCAGTGGCATTCAGGAGATGCTGAAAGAAATGTCGACAAAATGTATTAGCCACTTCAGAAAAGAATTACACTGGCCAAGAGGAGCAAAGGAGCTTCTTCTATTCTGCTTGTCCCTGTAGATGGGGACAACATGGCCCAGGGCTGCAAATTCAGCACTGCAGAGACAAGGGCCTGCAGGGCTGGGGTGGGGCCATCCCATGACCTGTCCTTGCTACCTAGCAGAGGAAAGCGAAACTGTCTCCTGCCAGGAGTTATTTTCACAACTTAGAGAGAGGTGCTCAGCTTCTATGCAGGCCAGGAGGTAGGGGTGAGAGCTTCCTTGAGGATTGCATTAAAACAGATGCTTCCCAGGTCTTTGGGAAAGATATTCCTGCATTAAAAGAAATGACAACAGACTTTTGAAAAGATTTACCTAACATAGTGTCAAATAAATAATTAATAACTACAATTTTCTAACTTAGCCTCCGCATAGAAATGTACTAGCCACATAAAATACCACATACATCCCAGCTATCATGGGAAAATACGGTATTTAAAAACTTTGAGAACTGTTATGTAAAAGACACATTGCCATGAATCTCCCTCAAAATACTCCCCTTGCTTCAAACACACCTCTTGCTGTTGCCACTTTCTGCAGCAGGTCTGGGAGTGTTCTTTTGTGGGTGTCTTTTGTTGCACCCTGATGGCTGCCTCCATGCTGTGAATTGATGCCAAAAGCGTAACTTTTGACCTTGAGGAAGAGACAGAGGTCAGACAGGGCTGGACCTGTGAGCGAGGCGAATGAGGGCACAGCGTGTGTTTTCTGGTAGCCTGCCTTTCCACTGGATGGCACTCAGCACACACGTTCACTGTATTTTTGATCAAACCTCAAAAAGACAGTCAGGAAAGAGACCTTTCAGAACTGCTTCAATAAGTGGCAAGAACCATGAGATAAGTGAGTATATTTGAGGGAGATTAATAGAACTGTGTCTTTTACTGTAATAATTTTTTATTTGAATATCCACTATTTTTCAATCACCACTTGCATGCTCAGATATTTTAGCATGAAGGTACCATTGTCCTCGTAATAAGATTATGCAAAGGAAAGAAAATGTAAATTGAGTGCATGATTCATGATATAAATTTGTCTGGCCCGCTGTACAGACTTCCTGAAGACTTCCTTTGTTGCATGTATGAAACAGTACTGTGACTATGTTTATATATCTGTCCACTCCACTGCAGACCAACTCCTGATACTTCAGCATATTTCACATTCCCATCAGTGGTTAGCAGAATGCCTTGTGTACAGCAGCTCATTCTAAAATGACAATCGGAGAAGCACACTGACTAGATACCCCTCCCCCCACACACAAGACCTCATCTTTGGATCTATTCTGGGTAGGTTGCTATAACTGGGAGGACACACACTTACAACTTCTTTTTCAAGCTCTGGTTCCCAAGTTGAGCCCAATTGTGCTGCTTAAATCATATTCCACTCTGACTAATGTGCTGCCTGAGGAATAATGTTCCCAGATGAGAAGGCTTAGAAGGTAGCCCCTTCCTGATGTCCTCCCCTGCCCACACTGATAGACACAGCCTGGGACCTGTGCAGGGTCCCTGTGTGTGTGTGTGTGTGTGTGTATGTGCTCACACTTGTCATATACATGACACTGTCGGCTACGACCTAAAAGTCACCAGGTCCTAATCTGCTGCAGAAACCTCTTGATTCCATTTAGAAAACACATGGTTCTTTTCCTTTTATTATTCCATGTCTGCTGTACACGATGCCTACATTCCTTGTGGTGAGTGCGCACACGGACATGACACATCTTTATTCCTTTTCCTCTACTTTCCCCACCCATCTCTTATCCCTTCCCATTTGAGAATGCTCTGTCTCCTTCCTTCGTATTATCTATTCCTTTTACTCTGCTCTTTATTTATAATTTGGGCTTCTCATATAAGAGGAACTATGTGACATTTAAGCTTAAGTATCTGATTTATTTCACTTACCATTATGGTCTCAAAGTGCATCCATTTTCCTACAAACAAGTGTATCTTTATGGCAGAGTAGTACTCCATTGTGTGTAATTATTGTATTTTCTTTATTCACTCATCTATTGATGCACATATAGGCCACTTCCAGGATTTAGCTACTAAGAATTGTGCTGCTGTAAGCATGGGTATGCATGCATCACTGTACTACGATGTCTTTAACTCTTTCATGGAAATACCTAGGAGGAGAATAGCTGGGTTGAATGGAATTTCTTGCTTGAGATTTTGGGGAATCTCCATAGTGATTTCCATAGTGGCTGTACTGGATTACATTCCTTCTAACAATGTGGAGTCGTTCCTTTTTCCGTACACCCTGGCCAGCTTTTACTATTATTTTATTTCTTGATGAGGGCCATTCTTTCTAAAATGGGTAAAATGGAATCAAAATGTTGTTTTAATTTGCATCTCTCTAAAGGCCAGCTATGTTGAGCATTTCTTCACGCATTTTGTTCTTGGGTCTGTTTTTTTCAGGCCCCAAAGCATTCCCTCAGTCCCAGATATGATCTTGGGGACAATCAGGATGCTGCTGGGATCTGGAACCAAGCACTTAGTCTCTAAAGCTGGAGACCTGTCCAGTGCCCTCCACTCATTTCTGTGAGAAATGGAGCCCTTTAGTCAGTTAAGAGTAAACTATTCTAACGGGTTGATATGCATCTATTTTCTAAATGCCAATGAATCTCTAAAACATTACCAAAATTCAAATAAAACCTGCAAGCACTATGAATTGCTCCTTGGAATTAACTAAACTAAGCTAAGCTATCTTATCTTAACCCTGATTCTTGTAAATAAGGACCTGTTAATTTTTTTTGTTTTAAAATATTTTATATATATTCATGTAGGGCATTGGAAAATTAATATAGTAATTCAAATCAAAATTCATGTATTCCAGACTTAGCATTAGCAAGTAGAAAACAGTGAGTCACTAATGAATAAAACCTTTATTTATCCTTTGTTAGGGACAGGCAGATAGTTTGATAGATCAAAATAACAAATGTACTGTTCCAAAACACCAGCTGTGGAGTTGGGGGTGTATTTGTTTAAATCGGTCTGCTTTTCCTCTCACTTGAGGCTTCCTGTAGCTACACTTTGCAATGGACTATGAATCCTGTGGCTTCTACACAGGACAGGACAGGACCTCCAAGGGCCGCTGGAGCTACTGCTCCATCAGGGCAGGTGTATTAGAGAGGAGGTGTTTGGCAGATGTTTCTGTTCCCTGGCATTGACCCTGGAATGCAAGGCCTCCAGGAAACAGGTGGCCCTGCAGATCTGTGGGCAATTAAGCAAAACGAACCTTGTTGACAGCTTGGCATGAAATGTGAGTCTTTAATTACATTTTAATGATAATGCTTATTATTTTACATAACTAAGTTAGGTGGTGTAACAAAGCATTAAAGATTGCCAGTGTGGATTTTATATTGCTTTTCTCAGTATTTGTAGAAATTCAGCTAGTAGAACAATTATTTAAGGATTAAATGGCTTGAGGAGGTTCCTTTCACATATGCAGAGTGACCATCATTCTTGTTATTCTCATGTCTGTTCCATAATTTTAAAATATATTGTTCTCATGTTTCAAGGGTAGCTAATTTGAAAGCTTTTCTGGCTAAAATCATGCCTAAAATAAGTTCTACTTAAATCTTCATAAACATGAAGCAGCCATTATTTTTGAGCAAAACACAAATTAAAAAGACTTTTTAAAGCTCTTTAAAGCCTTTATTTGACTTTATTGGTTATGTAGTTAGTTCAACAAGAATTATAATTCTTATTTGTGATTAATTACAAATTCAATGCTTTGAACTGCTACTAAACTTAATCTTTTCAAATTTAAATTATCTTTAAAAAGTTAAATAGGTGAACTTGAATCTAAGCTTTTCCCAAAGTGACTTCAACCATCTGTGAAATACAGCACCATACATACCCTTCATTTATCCTAATTAGGTCTTATGTAATAAATCATCTCCTTCTTCAATAAAAATGTCATGTTTTTGCCAAAGATCATAAATTCTAAGTTATTGGAATGACTATAATTTAATAAGATTGTATTTTAGTCTTTTGTATAACTTTAAACATGAAGAAATATTGAGAATTTATGTTTCCTTTAAAAATAAAGTTTTGATGAAGATACGTATTCCACGTAGTGTTTCACTTCAGGGTAAGAATAAAAATATAGAAAAGACAGGTTTCTTTGGTGCTCAACTCAGAGGACCTAATTTCATTTTTCTTTCTGGTTTCAATAATACATAAGTTGCCCCAAATCAGCTAGCGCTGACTCCCCCCGAGGGGGCCCCGCATCCCGCTGCGGGTGCCCTGGGAGGAGGCAGGCCTGTCCTCCACAAACCCGCACTGCGACACCCCCCACACTCAGGCCTGCCCCCCCAGATCTGACCTAGACCTAGGCCTGCGGATGACCCCACAGATACCTTAACCCCGTCCACTTTTCCCTGTACGCTTGGCCTTGCTAGGGCCAAAGGTCACCCTCTGTCCCCCCCCCCCCGCCCTGGTCTCCAGGGCTCTACCCCCTCGCGCCGCGGCAGCTGCAGGTTCAACTGCCCAGCTGGCCCTGCGTCCGCCTGGGAATAATACAGCGCTGTAACACGTCAAGCCAAACAGGCTTGCCCCAGTGACCAAGAAATTCCAGCGCTAGATATTTATGTAAGTAAACACATATACTTACGTAAGTATAAATTTACATAATATATTCTAAAAGCCTTATATATCTAGGAACATATTTACACGTGCAAATATATATGTATTCATATTCTAAAAAGCTTCGTATAAGAATGTGTGTAGTAGCTTTATTCACAATATTCAAAACCAGAAACATCTCAAGTTTTCGTCACTGGAAGAATGGATAAACAAACACAATATGATGTATTTATACAACAAAATATGCCCAGCAATTTCAAAAGAGCCACTATTGTACTCAACATGACTGTATCTAAAAGATATCGTGCTAAAGTGAAGAAGACATAAATTACATGCTCTTTGATTCTATTTATCTGAAATTCTAGAATAGGTTAAACTAATCATAAATAATAAAAATCTGAGCTCTGGGTAATGTGACAGGTTGAGGGGACCAGGCTTGAGAGTGGGGATGGAGAAAGAGTCTGGAGGTGACCGAGGTGGTCTATGCCTTGATAAGGCTCTGCATGCCACAGGTCACATTCCTGCTTTGACGATGCTTGGGAAAAGATGATTCATTGTGCATTTCCTCCCATGCACATTTTCCTTCAATATACAAACGACCTTTAGCAAATGCTGACAGCCAGTTAACGGTGTGGACTCTGAAGTTCACAGAGGCAAAAGGGTGCAAGCTGTTAGACAGGTGACCTCAAAGGGCTGTGCATTTGGTGGTGGTCACACGACTCCGTGCTTCCTCAAAGCGCAAACTAAAAGGATAAATTTAACTGTGTGTAAATTATACCTGTTTTTTAAAATGATTTTAAAAATAAGATGGATCACTGGATGGTCAAGTGGATGCATAAATGAGTGTGCGAAAGCAAATGTAGCATGATATTTATAATGATGAATTCAATTTGGTAGCTACTTGGATATTTACCATCATTTTAACATGTTTGGAATTTTTCATAACAGTACCTGGAGGACTATGGAAAGGTGGCCAGATCGAATTGCTTTCAAGCTTCAGACGCTGCCAGGACCCCACTTTATTTTGGAGGCTGATGCTAGAGATGACATGATATGGAGGCTCCACATGGCAGGCTCCCTTCTGGGGCCTTAGTCCTCACAGAAGGGATGGAGGGGCAGTGGCCAGTGCTTGTGTGCTTGTCTAGCAAGCAGGAGATCCTGGCTTCAATCCCAGCACCACAAAAACAAACGAAAGACCACCTGATAGAAGGTAATTTCCTCCTCACACATCACTGCCATCTAATCATAGTCCCTCTGCCAGGTTTTACCAAGAACCATTACCTTAGTCCCAGAAGACTTGTAATCAAATAAGGGTGTGAATAATGGTGTAGGTATAGTTGTCTTTCTTCTCTAGTAGTTTTTAAAAACTGTTAGATCACAATGCATGAACAATCTGTAGTCCATACCTCTAGACATAGCCTGTGGTTTCATGTAAGCACTGAATAAAAGTCATGTAGAGCATGTATGAAACATGACAACTGATGGAAGAGTCCTCTGACTTCATTTCAAAGTGAATAATGAAACACTTTTACACTTTAACCATTGTTTCCTTATTACCCCTTCACTTCTTAAAAGGGTGGTGATCTTGAGCAATGATAATGACAATCACATTAAATAAGACTCTAAGTATCATTTTTATAAAGTGCCAATTGGTAAACTATTCCAGGTATTTTATCTTATTATGGCAAAATAGATAACTTTGACAAATTATAAAATTTTATTTTAATATTTAAGGAATATGTGACTAAATACTCAATTCAAATTAATTTTCATTTTATTTAATGTTAGTTGCTTATGGTGTCCTAAGAAACAAGAACTTTGCATTTTGACATGTAATAAAAAGCAAGTATTCCCACCAAAACCAGTACAGGAAAGTCAAAAGAATCCATAGCTACTGAGACAGCTGTAAAGCTTTTCTAAGTATAGTGTTGGAGCAATTTACAGAATAATGGTTAATATAAATTGCTCTATAGACAAATCTCAGTCCTACACGTATTGATATTTACCATTAACTCAGCTAAATTAGTGATGGAGAGTGAAGTCTGAATTTCCCAATTTTTAAACGTACTGTATATATTAAGTTGGTAAGAAAATGTAATGAAAAAACAGAGACTAAGTATGTATAGATAATTACAGAATTGGGGGCGGTCTTCCAACTGAAACATTTGTGATGGTACAGAGCACTTGAGATTATATAGTTGCCTGCTAGGAGATTTTATAAATATCTATAAAAGGGCCAGGGATTTAGCTCAGTGGTTTCGCCGTCTGCTGCGCAAGCGCAAGGACCCGAGTTTGATCCCCAGTACCAAAAATAAATAAATAAATAAATAAATAAAATAAATAGCTATAAAATATAAAGGGTTAATACTTTGATAACATATTTTTAAAATTGCAGTATGAAAGATGTTGAACTAGAGTGAGAAAAATAAGAAAAAGCCTTCTCTCACTTAGGGAGTGCTCTCAAAAGAACTCAATGTTAGAAGTTATTAAAAATCATGCACAATTCAATGCACAGTACAATTGTCTGTAGTAACTACATATTTTTCCACTGGGAGAAAATGAGGTAGAGGAAGAATTTCTAACTTGAACACTTGACTACACAGTGTATGTCCCCACTGACTTCATATGGAGCTGCATAAATACTCTAAGTTTAAACTCCTGATTTCAGATGAGGGAAACTGGGAATTGTATTGGCAAGATTTAAGAATAGAGTGCAAGAAATGTGCCCAATGTAACTACCTTTTATTCTGCTATTTTGTAGAATTATGAGAAAAATAATAAAGATATCATTTCTCAGGTGAATAATCCAGTCCATTCATTACAGCCTGTTAAACATATAGCCAAGAGCAAATGGCAGGAACTAAATTTTTTTCTTCTTCTTCCCCAACAACAAAATTACCCTCATTTGAAACAAGGCTCCTGTTCTCATACAAATCTTTATATTCAATATGCTGCATTTTGAAGAGAAGCAAATAGAAAGATCAGGTTATATTTTGTAGTGATCTACCAAAAACCTCCTCAGGTGATATCAAAATGGTGATTTCATTACAGTCTGGATTTTGGGGAAATATCTGCCCAGAAAACCAATTGAGTAGTTCCCAAGATGTGATCAGACTCAAGATGCGAACTTACTCCAAATTAAATTAACGGGAGACTAGAATGTAAAACAATATCAATTTAATTATTGACAAGAATTATGACTTTCTTCTGAGCAGAAGCTGCACATTGTTCTAGTGAAGATATGCTGTGTCTAAGGCAAAACGGCACGGAAACTGCAATGAAACGCTACTTACTGGGGGTAAGTACCAGGAATCCGGAAGGCCCTAAGCAGCTTCTCTTAGCATCGGGCATTCATTTCCCATAAATGCATAGCTTTGCTGGGCAATGCTACTCCTCATAATCACTCTCCGTGTCTGTCTTCTATCTAATCTTGAGCAAGTGGGTCATTACTATTGCTGAAAAATTTCCAGATCTTTATGACAAGTAAACAAACCTTTAAATTGATGGCTTTCTTTCTCACCGTGGTGCCTAGTGATCCTCCTGCGTCACACTTTTAGAAAGCGTGTTTGACTTTAGTACCAGGCTACACTCAGAGTCCCTAAGAGTGACTTTGCATAACTTTGATTTCATTGTCTATATTTTGAATTCTGTCTACTCATGAATCCCCCCTTCATTTCTACACCCTATAAAGAGGGAGTTTAGACGGACATCTCACAATATCCCCACCCATCAGGGCACAGGATCAGACACACGAAAATCCTGAAATCCTTCTAATCAGATTACATTGGGCAGGCTCTTTATTCTCAGCAGCCTCTGACACTGCCGTCTGACTTCTCACTCCATAGGTGTCAGGTGGGGCAAATGCAAGTCCTCAGGAAGACATCAGCTGGGGCCGGAAAACTAGACAGGGCTCAGGCTCTCATAGTGAGGGGAGTATTTCCACAAGATTATAACAGTCGTCTCTTCTTAGGATGTTTCCAGGCCAGAATCTGGGAGCTTGGTTAAAAGAAAGCTGAGGGGGCTGGGGATGTAGCTCAGTGGTTTCACCCCCTGCTGCGCAAGCACAAGGGCCCTAGCTCGATCCCTGGTACCAAAATAAATAAATAAAATAAAATAAAGCCGAGTAATTTTGTGTTTGTGTATGTCTGTCACTCAAACAGGAGACAAAGGACTATTGTATCCAAATCTGTTTAAGCATAGAATTCTGTTTTTGTAGAACACTTTCTAATAACCATTGAAATTACATTTTGGGAAATACAGCTTATGTATTAGATATTCATATTCAAATACAAAAATCAATTTAATTGACATGTGAAAGCCTTTGGATTTTCATCACTTTTCTCACCACTGGGGAAAATTACAGATTGTTGGTTGAAACAGCCTTTTGTAATAATGATAAACAAATAAGGGGTGTTGATATCTGTCTTAGTTATTTTTCTCATTGCTGCGACAAAATACATGACACCCAGAGTAAAAGGAGGAAAGGTTTATTTAGCTCACAGTTTCAAGAGGTTTCAGTGCATAGTCAGCTGGCCCCAAGGCAGGGTGGCTTGGCAGAGGGACAACAGTTCATGACGGTGGAAGACAGCAAAAGATACAAGGGACCTTAACTGCATCTTTCTGGCCTTTTTACCTTATCCAGACTACTGGGATTAGAGTGGTGCCAAACCAATCAGTGTACTGGTTTAGTAATCACACACCCTTAACCCCAGCATCACAGATTTCAGATTCAGTCACCTCTGGAAAAGCCATCTATGATAGAATGAGGCTTTGAGGGACATCTAGACTCAAACCATAACAATATCACAGAAGAGCCAGAACCATCTGATGGTGTTTCTCAAAGTGTGATCTGTAACCCAGTTGGGGAAAAAAATCCTGTGTTGGGAGGGGAGAAGAAAGAGAGAAGTGGATACAGTGTTGAAAATAATCAAAATGTGCTATATTCCCGGAGGAGTATACCAAAACAAACTTGGCCATTCTGCATTTCTCTATGTGCTAATAAAGGGTCAGCGGGTCACTTTATGAAGGTCCCAGCCCCCGGGACCCTCTTCCCATCACTGAATCAGAATCTCTGCTGGTGGACACAGGCATCTGTTTTGCAACTCTGGGGGTCAACCCAGGGGTATGTGGTCCACTTAGCTACGTCTCCGGCCACCCTGACATTGTAATGCGCATTTGAGTTTAAGAAATATCGACTTAGGATTGCTGTTTAAATTTGAAAAAGGCAAATCATTCAGGCTTAAAATATTTTGCAGACGGCTTAGCATTCATCACGCCATGGGATTCAGCCAAACTTCTCTTCAAACAGAGAAAACCCTTTATGAAGATTGCACGAGCTCCAATATCCACTCGTCTCTCCAACATCCCTCCAATTCTGCCAGTTCCGACGCAACAGTCCGGGCATATTTGTGGGTTTGCCTTCCGTTTTCTGTTAGCTGTGGTCAGTACAGCATAAAAGGATATTTTAAAAGAGACTTTGCATTCACCTAATCTTTACACATTGCATCGTTTTACTCGTTCTATGCTATTATTGGTTGTTGTTGGTCTGTTACTGTGCCTAATTGGTAAACTGTTTTATCATCTGTATGCATATATAGTCTAGACAGGGCCCGGTCCTGTGTGTAGTTTCACACGTCTGCTGGGGCCCTGAAACATATTCCCCATGGCTAAGTGGGGAATATATATTTATATATTTAAATGCCTCTTTATATTTAAATGCCTCTTCATTATACAATGGCACACACAACAAAATCTAAAACTAAGCAGATCGTATATAGAAATTGGCAACAATATGCATATTTGTATTTAGTATATACATAGAAGTGAGCCAACATTCAAATTTGATTATTTGGAAACAAAGAAAATAAATCAAATTTCTTACTAATCAAGAATAACCTGAAAGAAAGTAAGATACTGGCCAACTTAAACCTGTTTACCAGTATTTGCTTAATTCAAATTGAAATATTTCACCTGTCATTAAGGTTCCATAAACTTTAATACATGTCATAGAATATGACCTTTCCACTCCCCTACTTCTTCAAATATGTACAAATATATCCTTCCAAGTATTCATGTACTTATTTGATCTTCTTTTGCCTTCAGAAAATTTGTAATTCTTCCATTCGTGGACAAATATGTGTTCCTAATGCTGTAGCAACTACCTGTAAGCAGTATAGTTTGTCTCTTATCAAACTCCTGATTAATATTCATTTCTTTAAAATAATTTAAATAAAGTATCTGAAATGCTGTTTTATAGTTTTCTGAGATAAAAGAAAAAAGAATTTTTAGGACGTCTAAGAAATATTTATTAAACTTAACAATTCTTTTTTCTTTTCTTGGTACTAAGGATCGAACTTCGGTCCTTGCGCTTGTGCAGCAGGCAGCGAAACCACTGAGCTAAATCCCTGGCCCAAACTTACAATACTTTAAATTCTCCTGGTGGCACACATCTGTAATCCTAGCATGCTAGGAGGCTGAGGCAGGAGGATTACAGGTTTGAGAACAGCAATGGTAACCTTGCAAGACCCTGTCTCAAAATAAAAAATAAAAAAGGGCTGAGGATACAGCTCAGTGCAAGGCCCCGAGTTCAATCTCCAGCACTGCAAAATCTAAACAACAACAATAAGTTCTGTTTCTAAGAAAATAGTATTTGAAAGAACTAATATTTAAATAGAATCACTAGTTAAGTGCATCTTTAGTTGAGATGCAAATAAGCCAATTATAAAGGTATTTGGACATAAATATGAAACACTAGGTGCATTGATCAATTGAATATATTACCTCTGTAATCAGGCTTATAGTTAACAATGCTTGAGCAATTACTGCAGTCTAGCATTCTTTTACTCACTGAATTTCATTAAATTGTTTAGTCTTTAGTATAATATATTTAAGTATATTGATATCATGAGCCTCATTTTTAAAATTACAAAATGGCATTCAGAAATGATAAAAACTTACTTCCTCCCCCCAAAGATCTGTCCAAAGTTATTTATCAAGTTTTCCCTTCCAAATAAAAAAGATTCTGCCCTGATTTTTAGTAAGCAGTCAGCATGGCAGCCCTCACCAATGCTCAGCGTGGTTAACTTTCTAATAACTCTAGGTCACAGCCACAGCTGTGTAGTTCCCAAAAGCCATCTGTGTCTGTCCTTGTGTGTAAGCTAGCAGTGTTTTCCTCAGATCAGAATTAACCTTGCGTCTGGAGGCAGTGATAGCACTCTGCTTGTGAGGAGGGTGTGGACAGAGCTGCTGCTCTTACCTTGCCAGCCTCTACCCACACTTTTTTTTGGTAAAGCCATGCTAGCTTCCTTTGAGAAAAGTTCATCCCAGTGTGACAAAAAAGGGAAGTCTGAGTGGTCTAAAATAGGCCCATCACACTCAGTATCATGAAAATTTAAATCTTGAGTGAGTGGCATAAGAACAGACAATGACACAAATGAATCATGAGCGTCATCATCCTGAAGATCCTGTCACTGGGTCGGAGTCACTGCCCACCTGTTTCCGGCAGCTTTGCCTTCAGCTGGGTATGCTTCCATTTCCACCGGACATCCCCAAGCGAAACCCTAGGAAGAGCTATTCTGGGTCCTCCAAATGCTGGCCTTGCACATGATGGTCAGTCAGTCTGCCTGCAGCAAATAATGTACGGGGGCTATCTCTCACATGGCTAAAGGCAGAAGGACAAAAGTTCCCTGCCCTTGAAGACCAGTCTACTTCAAAGCGTGGGGCACAGTCACACACACAAACAAAGCCTCTCCCAACCTCACAGTTCCTACTCAGTGTGAAATGTCTGCTTAATGCAGATACAGGGGCTTGTTGCTCTCCTTCAGGAGGCAGGCATTTCCTGCAAAGGTTTCATTTTATAGGTGGGCTTCAGCTAGAGACATTTACATTTTAGTAGGGAAATGGTACGCACAGCTCAAATGTATAAATCCTATCCCGGAATCCCTTTGGAGAGCCAGTTCAGAGGACAGGTGTGAACGGTATGACAATGCTATTACCCCAATGCTGAGTAGATGCATCCCGGGAAGAGTGTAGCTTCTGATTTAGCCACTTAGCTTACTTCTAAGAGCCCCCTTCGGTCTGCACAGTAGTGGAGGAAATGTTAAAATGGCCAGTGATTTGTCATCCTGCCCTCGAATGTGGGAGTTTCACATGAAAGGAAGGATGGGCAATACACCATAGTGATGTACAAACCTGGAAGCTGCCAACTGCCTCCTTCATGAACTAGAACTATGTGGCTTTGACGAGATTCATTTTCTTTTGTAAATTGCACATCTTAGCCATGAGCAGAATCAGGACTTAATCTATGCCAGGATGGATTGATACTGTAACAATGGACATTCTACTTGGATTCTGAGACTACTCTTTAGGAATCAGTCACTTTAAACACTGAAGTACTTAATTTTTTAGCCAGTAATTAAAATATGGACTTTGCCTTGGCTCTAGATAATTATTAAATATTCAAGTTTGCTTTGTGTTGGGTACCTGAAGCTTCATGTAAAAATCACCAGTTATCTTCTGTGTTGCCTGGGGGCAACATAAAGTTCATATCTGTTCTGTTGTTTTTATTTTTAACTATGTACTGTTCCAACCATAAAAGGTGACATACTGAGTATATGCTTTCTCACAGGGGATGTATTAGCATTGCACCTTTTGATCGTCTTGATATGACATAATGGGAGGCGTGATACGATATATGGTGAATGTTTAAATAAAAAGTGTATCACAGTAAAAAACACACTGCCATTAATTCTCCCCAAACTATTCCTCTTTGCTTCAAACACACTTATCCCATCATTCCAGCCAATCTCTGAAGCAGTTGTGGAAATTCTTTCCTGTGTCTGAATGAGCTGTGATTTAAAAAAATACAGTCAATGCTGCTGCCAGGTGACATCCAAGGGAAAGCCAGGCTCATGAAAACATGACAGTGTGTCCTCATCCACCTTCTTCACTGGATCTGGCACCTTGTGACCTCCGGCCCTCCCCAAGTTCCAAGGGACCGGGAAAGGTAAAGGTTCTCATTCATTCAGGACATCAGGGCTGCCAGGACAGCACAGCCAAAGACATGCTGTGAAGAAGAGTTTCACAGCTGCTCGGCAGGTGGCAAGCATGGTGAGGCCAGTAGTGCGTGTGTGTGGGATTGTGTTTCAAGGGGGATCAACGCCAGGACCTTGCGCGAGGCACGGGTGGCGCCACTGAGAGCTCTCTCTCTCTCTCTCTCTCCTCTCCCCCTGCCCATTACTGCCGATTCAGGAAAGCACGGTGCTCAGAACCCAGGCTCTGGGTTCCACTGCCCCAGATTCAAGCCCTGGCTCCAAAAGCTATCATTTAGAGATGTGAGAAAATTACTCACATTCTCTAGGACCCAGTTTTCTCCTCTTTGGATAAGAACAGTCATTTTACTTTGCTGTTATAAGAAGTGCCTACTAAGAGATTTGACAGAGCTCCTGGCACGTGGTTATGCAGAAATGTCAGCTCTTCTTAGAGCTTAGTTTCTTTTCTCTCATCCATTACATCGAGTTAATTATTGTCTGTCTATGAAATGATTCTGGCTCATATTTTATTCCTTACCATTTCTCAGCCATATTGGTAATGTAGTCCTCATAGACTTTTCCTAATTATTCCCCCATCATGCCACTCGCCTTCCTGTGTCATCTTTGGAGATGTCCAAAGTGAAAGTCATGCATTCTGAATAGAAGCAGGATCAGCCAGGGGAGCTGGAGAGATGAATACCAGGGGTTCTTCCTATATTCCTTTTATCTCATAAAAAATTTATACTTGTGTGCATATCCTGAAATGTACAAAGGTTATTATTACCATTGTTATCAGGGGCAGAGAGAAAAAGGTATTAGATAATGGTCAGAGAATAAAAACTTTCAGTTAAGAGGAGTAAGTTCAAGATACCAACTGTACAACATCATAAGTGCAGTTCATGAGAATATAGTGTGTTCTTTAAAATTATGGAGAGAAGATTTTAAGTGTCCTTACCACAAAAAATGTTATGGGAAGTAATGGACATGTTAATTGGCTTTAGGTATTTCACAATGTATACACGTTTCAAAACATCATGTTATGCATGATAAGTATATACTGCACAATTTTCATTTGGCAAGTATGAAGTAGATAAATACAATTTTAATGCTAAAAATTATCACAGTAGCATAATATGTACTTAATAAATATTCATGCTTTAGAGATGGTTCAATAATAATGTTTTGTTTTAAGAATGGATTTTTCAAAAGCCTTTCATGACATTAATACAATCTCTGTAATTATACATTTGTACAATTAACCATCCAAATAGTTTATCATGTCATACAAAAAATAGTAAAAAAATTGTAATTGCTAACAATTGCTACCAGTGCTCTCGATGACCAGGCCCATTTTCTGCCCAGTTTCATTGCTTTCTTTATACTTTATTCATTTTAATACACATCATTTGCTGCCCTACCTGAGTGTTTTATCCATCAGCTTTCCCTCTCTGTAACAAGATCCCTGAGATAACTCCACAATGAAGAGAAAAAGCCTATTTTGGCTCATGGTTCTGGGAGTTCCAGTCCAGCGTGGCCTGGCCCCACTGCCTTGGGCATCTGAAGAGGCAGCACAACCCTGCTGGAGACACACGAGGTGAAAGAACACCACATATAGCATGACCCAGGGTGGAAAGAGAAAGAGACTGAGCCCCGTAGGCCTCCTCTAGGAGAGCCCCAATGCCCGGAGGATTCCATGGAAGCTCCAAGGGTCCCATCATCTCCCAGGAACCCCACCCTGGGGACTGAGTCTTTAACACGTGGAACTTTGGGGAATCTTTATCATCCAAGCTACAGCAAATATATTATGCAGTTTCCTATTTCTGCAACTATTTCCAACAATTATTAATTTATTTTTGTTTTTCTCTTCATTTCCTTTTTCCTTTCTGTATTCTTTCTAAGTAGATTTTTAGTACTAAAAATGACCCAGGTACTGTGTTAGATACTGAGACCCAAATGTGAAAATATAATTTTTCTGTAATAACATAACATAATAATATACTAAAGGAAGAAACTCACTCATAGTCATGCAATGCTTTCCTGACCCAAAACCTCCATCAAAAAATCTTCCTGTTTTTCCTCATTTACTCCCTTCAAGTAATTTAGAATCGCATGGATCTCTAAGCATTTGGTTTGGATCTACAGGAGAGTCTTTTTCCAT